GGAAGCTGAAGCACATTAAAAACTGTGGACCAAACAATCCTTTTCTGCCCATACAATGCACAAAAGTAGCCCTGTGCTTGTGCAAAACATGTGTGCTTTGGTGCAGTTTCCCTGCAGCCAATGAGGAAGACACCTCTTCACCAGTCTCTTATGCACTGCCACTCAGAACGTATTTTTTCTGTTTACAGTGGCAGGGATTTCAAAAAGTGAACCCACTCATCTCTGGGCTGCAACAGATAAAGAGGATCAAGCTGTATTCATCCACAGCACATCTATGCTTCCACCATAATCAGTCTAATATGGGCCTGTTCCGTGTGTGGGCTGATACACAGGCTAAGTTGCATCACCTCTTTGTCTGAGGCTTATGAGGAACAGAAAAAGTTGCTTCTCAAGCAAACACCTCCAATTTAAACATAGGAATGTCTGACATTAAGGGACCTCTGAGCTTATAAGGAAGCTGACATTTATGGTACAGTGCCAACAGTGTTCCGGGAACGGGTTAGCACAATATACTACCACTTAAAATTCAGGCTAAGCTTATTTGGGAGAAAAGTATGTCTGGTTTTGCCTGGTAAAAAATGCAGTGAGACTTGATGACATCTTATTGCGTTGGAGTATTGCCAGGCAATCAGCTTACCTGTGCTGTACTTTGCCTGGAAACCTTTTCTTTGCACAGAAGCATCAGAGTAAAACCTGAGGAACATCTTGTTGGTAGAAGCCACTACAGGGCCTGGTTTCTTGCTGCCACAGAAGCGGCCAAGGATAGGTGACTTGCTGTTGGGCCCATCATACAACTCTAAGTGGTCATAGGCACATTCTTGGTGCTGTTCAATCTCAAACTCATTGAAGGTCTACAGCAAGAATAAGGAGAACTAAGAAAGACATCTGTGAATCCAAGTGTGCGATGTAGCAGTGGATGAAATGCCAAGTGAGAAACAAGTCAAATTATACGTCTGTCCCACTCCTCCCACAAACTAACACAGAATAGTGTGCTTTCAGATAAGAGTGATCTCAGGGTGGCAAAGCTCAGAAGTTCATATCAATGTGCCATGTAGCCTTAGCTTTGGTGCTTCACATGGGTGCATGACAACAGCTTCCAACTGCAAGCCTTATATGCTCTTATTTTTTCCTGCTGGGAACCCTGCCTAGCACACTGAATGGGCAGTTCTTCAATATTACTTCCACTGAGCACAGGGATCCAGGCAGTATTTCCTCCAGGGCATGGGCCATCTGCACAGCTTTGGGCAGGTCCTGCCATATGCATCAGGCCAAGCTGTAAAACAGGCCTGACGCTTTCCCCTCAGAGACAATGGGGACTGGCCCTCCCACCACCTTATGCAGAGGTGGTCCCAACAGTGTGACTCAATAGGAGAGGTAGGGGCGGGAGGGCAGGTTATACCTTCTGTTAACAGAGAGAGCAATGCTGCGCAGCCGTCATCTGCTGGAGTCTCTTCCAAGCTGCCTCACCCCTGCCTCGTCTCCCTCTGAGACCTTCTGCCCTTTTGTGGGCCAAGAGCAGCCTCCCAGGACACCCTCCTCCAAGCACCCCCAACAGGACCTATGGGGATCAACCTCCCACTCACACAGTGCCAGGGGAAACTCACGTCAGCTCCTCACCATCCAGCTCATTTCTCCCCTTGCACTCCCGCACACTGGTTACTCACCACTTTCACTCGGTGGCCAGGTGTTGCAGAAATGTCCCAGGTGCACTCTTTTCGGCTGGGGTACTTGTCAGGCCAGTTTGGACTGCTCATGGTTCCCTCTGCACCACTCAGCTTGTGCTCGCAACCAGCTTGAGAGAGAGATCACAAGATGGAGGCATTGAGGCAGGTCTCACATGGGAACCACGTAATCCTCCTCTCTGCCCACAAAGACCCTCAGGAGGGCACAAACAAGGAACGTTTCAGTCACTGAACAAGACCTTTTAGTATTACTGCATAGTTCTGTTGGGTTTGTCTTACACTTTTTTGAGATAACTTGGCAGCTGGTGAAACGGACCATCTCAGTCCCCTGGGCTCAGTAACCTCATCCACCTCCTCTCTCCCAAACACATGCTCCTGCTCCTCCATCTCGTCTGCCCTACTCCCAGTGACACCGTGTCCGACCCCTCCACCACGTTCACTCTGATGCTATCCCAGCCTTGGGTTGTTTTGCTGACTTGGAAAGCTGAATCAGCTCATGGAGAGATCAGACAAGGACCAGGGACTGTTTGTTACACAGGAAGGCCATGGCAGCACACAACAGGGGTGGGGGAGCAGGAAAAAATGTATTTTTAGCAGCAGCAAGTGGTTAGATCAGCTCATCCTTTCTCTTCTTCCTCCACCTAATCATTCAATGAAGCAGCAATGACTAGTCTAAAAAATATTTCCTGCAAACACTCCTTTCACTAGCCCAGTTTCTTGCACTCAACCTGGCCATCCCATGGCCATATGGAGGACTAGACTAGGGAATAGATCCAGCTGAAAACAAGCCCTTTTCCTCCTTTTCCTAGGTAGTTTTTCAGCTGTCTGGGGCTTTTTTGGTGTCCCAGCCTGATATGTTGTACAAACACGGGTCCAGCCCCAGGCAGGGGCCAGTGCTGAGGCAGCCTGTCTGCCATGAGCACAGCGAGCAGGGACCTTACCTTCTTTACAGTCGTGGCCATTTTCATGCAGCATGAAGCCATTTATGCACTGGCATATGTAGCTCCCAAAGGTGTTGACACATTCGTGCTGGCAACCACCATTGTCTTTGGAGCATTCGTCCTTGTCTGGGCAGGATCAAATGACAGACACTGAGCTGACAGTGAGAAACAGGCTACCGCAGTTACCAGCTGGGAGACCCATACCCAGACGGGGAGATACCAGTGCAAACCTCCAACCTCTGCTGCTGGATCAGTCCAGTCAGCTTTTCAGACCAGATACAATTCTCTTCAATTGTCTTCCATTCCATAAAATACATCACAAATGTGCTTTATTATACAACATAGGTTTTGAATGGTTAAAGACTCCCATCAAAAGAAACCTATAGCAATGTCTCATTCTTTTAGAACAGTGGCCAGGAAAAGTATCACACAAATTCAGTAGCCTAGGCAAAAATCCACTAGCCAGTCTTTATATTTTCAAGTTCCTACATACTCTGATGAGCCTCCATCTTTAAACAGCTCTGTCTGAGAGCACAAGCAGCCAATTGGAGAAGAGGATCCAAGGTATGCTGTCCCTGCCCATGCCACGGGGTTTGGAACTCGATGATCTTCGAGGTCCTTTCCAGCCCCAACCATTCTATGGTTCTATGAGCTGCTCCCTGAAGCTAAAACATGCCCCAGTCAATGTTCATTCCTGTGTGTTCAGGACTATGCATTCCTGAATCTCACTGTTCTGAGCATGCGATCTGCTCATGGTTTCCAGTCTGATTTAATTTATGAACAGTTTATCTTACTTTGTTCTTGGGCCAGTGCCCTCCCTGGACTTCATTAACCTCTTTCGCCTCCTCACTCCCAAATGTGCTTGTAGATGAAATATACTCCATGTCGTCCTCTTGTAAGATTTACTAAGCCAGCCCCTTAGCCCTGATTCTACTCTGCAACTGCCATTTTGCCTGATCATCCTCCTCAAAAACATGAATACTGCTCAGTCTCTGCTGAAAACACAGCATGAAATTGAATTTCCACTTCCATATAATGTAGTTAACCTCCAGAACTGCCTGCCAACAAGGTACCTCACTGACACCAAGAGCTACAAAGGATTCAGAACAGAGGATTAGAAACTTCCACTAGCATGCACTGCTTTGATGGGAATGATTGTACATAGAAAACTTCTGGAAATTTTCTGCCTCTTCTAGTTTCAGAGGAAAAAGCTTTTAACTTTTAGGATCAGGTTCCTCATTGCTTGCTTCCTGCTGTGGAAGGACTGGGGGCATTGATGAAACCCATGCAGTCTTGCTGACACAACACTATGAAACTGGGCCATACACCGCACTGAGAAACCAAGATGAAAGGTGACAAAACACAGAGCAACCACGCTTTTTAGATGTAACTAACCATGTTCAGACTCTGCCTGATTTAACACGAGGTTGAAGAAAAATCCCTGAAAACTACAGGTTCAGTCAGAGGAGGCAGCTAAGCAAGTGAAAGAATACTGCCACATACCAGAGAAGTAGTGAACTTTAAAGCCTTTCTTGCAGACCGTGTTGTCTGATTTGAACTCCAGTCTCATGTTGTTGCCATACGATGTAATTACTTCGGGCTTCTCCGAGCCACAGAATTTACCATGCAGCTTGGAGTCAGAAGCCAACCCACTACGAACTTCAACAAAGTCATATTTACAGACCTGTCGAGAGATGGGGATATTTCTCAGCTCTGTGAACTTGGAACAAAGCATTTCAGAGGATGGGGACAGAGGCTTGACCAAGAGGGAACAGAAACAGCCTTATACTCAAACACACTTAACTTCCCCAAATTCTCCTCTGTCAGTGTTCTCACTCGCTTCCCTTGCTGCCCTGGTCTTAAAGCATGGGTGTGTTTATGAGAATAGCAAACATTACATTTTATTTGGCTAAAATAATTACTCCCACCTTATCCAAGAGTCTGACAGTGTTGAGTGAACTTCAGCAGCCTGCTGAATTAAGGAAGAACCACTGCCCCCATTTATATGGTGGGGAAAGTGAGACGTGAATAATTTGTCCAACTTCCACCCTGCCCTTGTCAGGGAAGAGAACAGACTCTCTTACTACTTATTTTGTTTCTTCTTGAAGAACTCTACGTCATTGTTAATTTCCAGTTATTTTCCTACAAAGGCAGCTCTGGGGAAGTTGGGGATGGGACACCTGTTAGGCATGGAAAACACCTACAGTTACACAAAACTGGTAGAGAAAATAAGCCCATTTATAACAGAACGCTTTAATCCTTCCGTTCCATAGAGAAGAACAAGACTTCAAGGAGAATGATCACTGTTATTGGCTTATTATATCAAGGGCAGGAAAACAACTAGAAGCTCCACCAGTAAGACAGAGTCTCCTCTTCCTTGTACCCCAAGGATTTATCCAGTTCTGAGTTAGCCAATAGTCACACCTCTGAGATGCCGGGACTGGTTACGTACATCATTGCCTTCCAGCTCAAACACTTCGAACTGCAGAGAGATCCGGTACTGGGCTGGAGCTACCACCTGCCAGACGCAGTTTTTGTTAGTAGGATATTCCTTGGGCCATCCAGGGCTAGTAATGGTCCCATTGAGCTTGGTGATGAAGCCCCCACAGGCAGCTGGAGAGGCAATAAATGAACACAAGTTTTACTTGGTTCTGTTCAGACACAGATTGGGCCACACTGTTAGCTAGGAAATTAATCAGATCCTGGTTGGCGGCACATTTCAAATCCCAGCCTCCAGAACAGGTTTAAAATGCTAGAAGCTGCAAATATGATGGAAACCTCACCTGCTATAAGTTACCAGTGAAACACACACAGCCAGGCTACGGCCCTGAGAGCCACTTAAACCATGCAAGATTGATCTCCTTTTTACTCTCTAGCCTTGGGCTTACTGTGGATCAGTTGACTTGACATGCACAATATAGTTTAAAGGACAGCTTGGCAAATTCAGTCCTACAAACCTTACTACTTCAAGTTTATCAGTAATGGAATAATTAGAAGATAATGGAATCCTAGGGAAGACACCCCTGTCAACTCTTCAGTGGCTTATTATATGTAGATTCCATCTTCTCTAGGGAAAACAGAAGACAAAGCCAAAGACTTAGCTTTATTATCCCATTTCCTTTAAAAATTTAGGACATTTCAGCTTCATCCTTTTGTGGGAGGGCATGGCTTTTACCTCAAAGGAATGAACCTCAGTTTGTTCTTTTGCTGCAAAATTCTATTTGCAACAAAGCAACTTTTTTTGCTGTTTCTTGGGAGCAATGAGATACGGCAAGATCTTCAAAGCCTACACGGATAAAAGCTTCCTGTGTCTGGTTCCCAGCATCATTTTGCATTCAAAGGGGAGCTTTAATAAAAAAAGTGTAGCAAGCAAGCATGTTTGGAGGAACAAAAGCAATTTACTCCAATGTGTGTCACTGCAATTTCAAAGATTATCCTTCCTGTATTGCCCACAAATTAAGATTAAAATAGGAGGTTACAAGTAAAGTTCAAAAAATGCTTGCCAAGTTTTACTAACTGGCTTGCTCAAAATTGCAAGAAATTATTTTTTAAAATGAAGTAAAGCTTCCAAAGGCCTTTTGCCTTTTTAATTCTGCCCTCACCAAGCTGATAGCAGCCTTCCATAAACAGTTTGACAGGAGTAGAAGTCAGGACAAACCGTGTGACTTGGAGAGCATCACACACAGCGTGTGGAGCTCCCTAGACATCTCTGTCGAAAGGCAGAGCTACCAGACAAGTACAATGGGTGGATTCTCACCACACCAACAGTTGTATTGTTGGTGGAAGTAAACACGTTGCAAGAGATAAGTAGATAGCTGATAGAAACAGTTCCCATTGAAGACATGATTTTTTTCCCCCCATGACAGAAGAAAGGAATTTACTCCTTAGTATGGAGAATGTCTGTTATGTATGCAGGCAAAACATTGATATTTTAGTCCACAAAAGAAATTTCTTTAAAAAAAAAAAAACAAATTCAGCCTTAGATTGAAATACTTTTGGGCTGTTGAACGTTTAGGTTGTAATACCCATCCTCCCTTATGCTGTACTGTGGGAGATCTAGTCTGACCAGGGATGTCTGGACATGAAGAACAACCGGGTTTAGAGACGTAAAAGTACTTTTTATGAGGGAATGTAGTGATAGGACATGGGGTAATGGCTTTAAACTGAAAGAGGGTAGATTTAGAGTAGGTAGATATAAAGAAGAAATTCTTCACCACGAGGGTGGTAAGGCACTAGAACAGGTTGCCCAGAGAAGTTGTGGATGCCCCCTCCTTGGAAGTCTTCAGGATCAGGCTGGGTGAGGCTTTGAGCAACCTGGTCTAGGGGAAGGTGTCCCTGCCCGTGGCAGGGGGCTTGGAACTAGATAATCTTTAAGGTCCCTTCCAACTCAAGCCATGCTATGATTCTGTGATATGAATCTATGTTTAGCAGGCAAGAATCAGAACATTTTCAGTTTTTCAACCAAAACCTGTTTTTCAATGGAGGATGTTGACAAAAAGAAATTTTTCAGGTGGGGGGAGACAAACAGAAACAAAAAGGATGTGGGGGCAAGGAAAATAATCTCCAAGATTGTTCAATTTCATTATTAGCTGTAGTACCCCTCCTATAGACAGATGCCTCAATCTGTAGGTTACTTACCTTCACAGCTCTTTTTATCAGCTGTCAACTCATAGCCAGGCTCGCAGGTACATTTGTAACTGCCCAGTGTGTTCTCACACTGCTGCTCGCACCCACCGTTGTCTGGCAGAGAACATTCATCAGTCTCTGTCAGGAGAAAACCGGAAGAAGTCACACCTTCCTGACCACCCAAACAGCCTCATATTCCTCACTCAACACTCCTGGACAGAAGGACCAGAGCACTAGCTGACAAGCTGAGCCCGCGGAACAGGCACCGCAGCAAACCTCATGCATGCTAAAGCACTCCTAGCACCAGACTGCACAAGACTACAATTACAGTTATTAGTCAAGAGTCTCTCCCCATCATTTTTTACCTTTCTTTAAATGTTTTCACAGAGGCACCACCAGCTCAGCTGCATGTCCTGCAGTGGGCCCACTGTGGAGCCAGCCTGAACCATCTGTCTGGCACAGGGCTGTCCCTGTAGCCTCCTACTGCCAACACCTTGACACCCACACCCAATATAATGTTCCAGTAACAGTTACTGCTATGTAGATCAAATAAGAACGGTCTTGACTAGATCATTATTGTAGCTCCCTCTAACTGAAATATTCTATTCTCTTCTACTGATAACACTGTCTTCCTGCAAAGCCTTCCCACAGTCAGGAACCCCCTCAGTGCAACAGTTCCAGTCCAAACAGATTTTTGTTTTCTTATTTCTGTTTATGGATTCACTATGAAGAAAGTAGAGTACTACTTTGCTTGGGTACAGGTTCAATAGCTTCTAATCAGGCTGCTAAATCACTTGCTTCAAAGAAAAGAGAGGCTGCAACTCCTATGATCATCAAAAAAACCCCAGTGATCAGTCTTTACCATGGGAATCCTGGCTATGGGCAGGTATATTTGCCAAAGTATTGTCTTTCCTCTAATGTTTGCCATGAAGAAGAAAGGCACAACAACATGAGTGTAAGACAAGCATAACACAACTAACACTTCAACCATATACAAAATAGGCTTCACTGATTTGTTACCAAAATGAAGAGAAGTACTAAAGAATAATCCTAGAGCTTTCCCTTGAGATATATATGATGGGATGGACATGAGGTAACTGTTCTTCATATTTTCCTGACACTGTCTCTCGGATGTGACCCATGGCGTACCCCCTCTGAGCTGTCTTACTCTCTGCAAGCTGTCTGCAGGTTTATTTTCTCTGAAAAGCTAGAAGTTACCACTGCAAGTTCTCACAAAATATAACATTCAGTTCCATCCTTAACTCTGTTTGGTTTTTTTTAAGCTGGGTTGTTTTCTTTCAATGTTGTAAGACATGTAATTAAAGCTCTATTACTTTCATAATTCATTAAGGCAAAGCTGACCCATTGCTCAGTCAGCTATGGGTGACAGTCTCAAAAGTGCTGCAGAGCACTAATCTAATTTGTTCACTTATTTTGTTCATGGAGTGGCTGGCAGTCACAATCCCTCTAGATATTGAGGTACAGGCTGCAGACTTCAGATCCCAGCTTGAAATCCTGCATGCAGCCTACAAGTATGTCTACCCAGCTTTTGCAAACTGACTTCAGCTCTGCCCCCAAAGCAACCTTGCTAGAAGTTGTGTAGCTATGGCTACTGTAGTGCTTGGTCCAGGCATATACACTTTGCTCCTCAGCTGGACTTACTGGCATGGACTTAACAACACCCTAACCAGCCACGAGCTACACAGTTTCTGGTTCAAACAAGTGACGTCTGAGCAGACCGTGCAAGACCTAGTCTGCCAGCAAAAACTCCATAGGCAATAGCTGGGTTTCAAATCGTACTAGCGGTGCATGTTTGTGCATTTTTTATTTAAAAAATAAATAAATTGACTATCTGTATAACAATGAAAGTGTCCCAGGTTCAGCTGTGTAACTTTCTCCTGCAAGTTTGTAGGGGAAGAACCTCAGATTCTAGAGAATGACTTGCTGCAGGCCAAGGAGTCCCCATGCAGTGCTAATCCCTGGAAGACATCTCTGCCACAGCCAGCCTGCACTAGCAGCTCCTGAAAGAAGCCAAAATGTCTTTAGGAGGAAGTATTCTCTGTTGTCTTTATGGAACCTGAGAAATTTAAACAAGAAGGTCTAGGCACTGTGAGAGTTGTTCAGGGACCAGAATTAAACATCACAGTATTTGCCAAAGATCTTGCAATCACCCTTTGTCATGGTCCGTTTGGACCTCTCAAATTTACAGGACAACATACTTTGTGAATTAAACACTAACATTTTTTTTTCCACATAAATGCATGGATTAAGAATTACGGGTTATAAATTACGAAATCATATGACTTGAACAGTGAATAAGTGAATTCACATGATACACTAGACTGAGAAAAGGGGATTGATCCCTGCTGTCCTTGTTTGCTGTATTGCTTAATGAGATAGTGAAATAAAGTATAATTCACAGAGTACATTGTCCTTTAAATTTGATGCAAGACAAAAGTTAAGGTAAAAACAAATAAAGGACTTACGCAATCCAAATATTGGCATTGCAGCTGTTATTTCTGTACAACTGTCACTGAAGCAGAGAGAAACATGACTATCTACCTCACAGCAGCTCTGCAGGTATTTTTCCAAGTGGTTAGATATTTGGTTCTTGCCCCTATCAAGATACTGGAAAAAGACCATGGCTTGGGTTCAGTTCTCAAGAAGAATTTTAGTCTTCAGTGGCATCTTCCTGAAGAGGATCTTAGTTCAGGAACACATTTGTCTCCTAAAGTACTTGAAATCAAATTTACTCTCTCTCCATAATTTTCTTTTGGAATAGAACTTAAGTAGACAGCTGGTTTTAACACTCTTCGTACAGTACTAGTACCTTGTTTGAAAATGTCAGTGTCCCCTGGCATGGATAAATGGAGGTCACATTCTGTCCAGCTGTGCAACACAAGGCGTTAGTGCCTGTGCTTGTACTGCTCCAGTAGGCTTTCTTTCTGTCTTAATTGGGGAGGCAGTATTCATGCCTCAACGTCAAACCCCTCTACACTCTCAAAGCAATTTGTATATAAACTCAATATTGTCTAAGAACTCTTAATGACAAGTAGATAGAATGGTAACTGATCATTTTGGGATGTCAGTATGTTAACGGATGAATGGTCCCCAGTTTTGACCTTGAGAGGTACTAGACAACATACCTTTAAAGAAATTTGCTGCAAAGCCTGCTTTATTGATGGTTGCATCAGAAGCAAACTTCATCCATACTTTATTTGAGCTGGATTTGATATCTTCTGGCTTCTCGTAGCCACAGAAGTGACCAATCAGTGGGCTGTACTCAGTGAGGCCATCTCGGATCTCCAGGTAGTCATAAGAACATGCGTCGTGCCATTCAATCTGCAACGCGAAAAGGGTGTGCCTGCGGCTCATATACCCTGGTATGAGTGCTCTGAGTCAGGCTAGCTAACCAGTTAGTCTTTGGCTAGAGATCAAAGGAGCATCTCAAACAACTGGTCACAACTAGGTACTTGCCTCAGGGCTGGGCTGCCATTGAACTCTCCTGTATTTGAAATTGCATTCAAGCCCACGCTCGTGTCAGTTCTACTGCTATTTCGTGGCTACCCTCTGGTGAAACCTGGTCCCTATCTACAAGCTGTTTTTCCATGAGAAGCTGTAAGGAACAGAGCAGAACAAACAGAAAGGTTCAAGGAATAGCTGTGGGGATGCAGGCAGTGGTATCAGCCTTTTCCAGGACAAGCACCGTAAGTGTGCCCAAGCCACAGGAGCTTATGGGTTAGATGGGATTTATGCACCAACTCAGGTCCTTTCCACTCCTGCCTGGGACTTAGACATAAGTAGTCAGAAACAGATCCTAGCTAAAAGGGCAAGACATCCTATAACCAGTAGGATGAGCTCTTCAAAGCCTGTCTACCATCTGGGAACATGATGTTTCTTTGGAGAATCACAAACATCCTGCAACCTGCCATGCCCCAGTGACACCAAGAGGAGTTTTTTGCCTGGATTGTGACCATACAATTTCATTTGACCAGAGAAAAAGCTTAAGGACTCATGAGTCCTTACTTAACATTTTTGCAAATTTTTTGCCCCTTCCAATTCCTCCTGTTTAGAGTAACTATTTTTGAAAACTCATCGTATTTAAAACTTGACTTCAAAATCTCTGAGCAAACTTTTGGTGAGGAAAAATTACATTCTGATGTATTCAAAAACTTTTTAAAAAATTATTATATATATCATTTCCTTCTTAATTTTAAAGGATCTACAGTGGCAAAATAATATCCATAATATAATATATAATAACATTTCTCACCTCAAAGGCTTGGAATGTGATTCCTATGTGAAAGCCCTCAGAAACTGTGATCTTCCAGATACACTCTTTGGAAGGTCTGTAGTCATCTGGGTAATTGGGAGATTGGATCTGGCCCACATCTTTGTGAATTTCTCCACCACACATAGCTTCATAAAAACCAAAGAGCAAAACCATGAAATTGTAGTATTTTCCTTAGGTAAAGCCTGCTACATACATAGCCTTCTTCCTCATTCAGATCTGTATCAATACCACTTGTTCTACAAAAGCAACACAAAAGTCATGGAAGTTTTTACAAATCTAATTTTGTCTTACTGACAGTATCTCCTGTCTTGTTGTGCCAGCCTCCTTGGAAAATGAACTCACTGGTACTGAGAACTTCAATGGATTAGTGTGTTTCACGCTCCTGGTCACCTTCATAACTGCTTAAAACCTGCTACCAGCACTAAGGACCAAGACAAGTAGGCAAAAAAACCCAAATCAAACCAAACAAAAAAAAAAAAACCCAGTTGCAAATCTAATCCAGCCACACGGTGGCAATATTAACAAGCATGAGTTGAGCTGTTCACCACGAGACCATCAGGCCAAGTCCTGTGGGTCAAAAATTAAGTTTTGTGCTAAATGTAAGAATGAGTAAGTTTAAAGACCAAACCATAAAATGTAATTAAAATCTAGTTTAATAAAAAACTAGCAGAACCTCAAAGACAATAGCAGTTCAACATAATTGTCTCCAAGACTATGTAACAAATGAAAGTAAGATCACAGGCTAAAACCTGTGTTACCCCATGATGTAAGACACATGTCTAAAGAAGGCATATGAATGTTTGGGCTGTGTTTAAAGTCAAGCAAAAAAAACCAAAAAAAACCCAAAAAAAAACCCCACTGCCAGTAAGTACAAGAGAGATGGCACTGCAATGACACCTGCCAGACATCAACCATCACCATCTTCACTCTCGAGGTCTCCCCTGAACATATTCAATTAGCAATTCAGATGCAGGTCTCCCCATAGTGTCTGGGAAATTGCTCGCATTGGGTTTGCCTGGTCAGCTGCTAACGTTTAACCGTTACATAGTTAAAAGCACTGTTTCATTAGTGCAGTGCTAACTTCTTTCTTTGAGAATCAGTGCTAAGGCACCACCAAGGAGTTGTACCCTAAATTCAGCTGCAAACAAGAATTTATATTGTAGTTTGAGTTCACATATTCAGAGCTACAAGTCGTGCTAGAGAGAATCTCTGAGGGACCCTTTAGAGAACTGACTGTCCCACATAACAGGAGGAGTACAAAAGCAGAGAACTGACAGTTTTTTCAACAACCATAAAACTGTCAGCCTGCAAACAGTATATTCTCTATCCACTGCAGTAGTTCACATTGAAATTCAGTTGAGCAGCTAAGTATACTGGAAGAGCTTTACTGCAAAATGGAAAGAACATCTGCTGGTAGAGCCTGAGAAAGCAATAACAATGACAAATTTGGGTCTGTCAGCGGTACTGTAGGGCAAAAC